CTTCAATACACTTTTTTGAATAAGTCCACCGATAGCGTCTCTTTTACACAATTCCACAGAACCAAACACTTAATAGACTTTGGCACTTCTAACGTTTAGTCGTTTACTATATATATTTAAAAAGTTTAAATTGAAAAAAATTAACAACTCATCGATATGACTCTTTAACGTGAAGACGAGATATGAGGTTTATTGAGGTATTACTGGTGGTAGGACCTCTTGTGAGTCCGCGCGGGTGGGTACCACCACCCTGCCTATTTCTGCCGTGAATTACTGCTGTAATGCGTTTCGGTTTGAAGGGTTTTAACTATACCTGAGACCTTAGAACTTATATCTCAAGGTGGGTGGCGCATTTACGTTGTGGATGTCTATGGGCTCCAGTAACCACTTAACACCAGGTGGGCTGTGAGGTCGTCCACCCATCTAAGCAATAAAAAAAAGGTTGTATAAATTGTTTTGTTATTTTAGTGCTTCTTGAGGTTTAAATGTGTAGTGGCGGTGATTCATTCACTGTTTAACATTTTTGAGAATGCACAAGTGTCGAAAATGAAACAAAGTAGCCAGACGTGATTTTTCGAGTTCTACTGAAGAACACACTAGTTTAGTAAATTCACAACATTTTCATTTCATCTCATCTCATTTCATTTCATTTTAATTCATTACAATCTCAAATATATCAACTTCACCTCATTCTGAGCTGTATCATTATTTGACGTGACAACGTCTTATAATTCGATGGAGCCGGCTGCACGCACGAAAAATCATGACTCATGCGGCGTTACCTCGCTCTGAGGCGTTCCATTTAAGGCTTGAAGTGCAAGCGAGAGCGCGCAACGAGCGACAAAGAGGCACAATCGGCCTCCACGTTGACACCTCCTACTTGAGTGAGCGATGCATTCGTGTGGACAGCTACTATACAATAATACATTTACATGTTTTCGTCAAGTACGAAGTTCAGTGAAAAGTAAATGTGGTGTCAATTGTTTATAGCAACGATAATTGCGATAATTGAAAAATGAAACCATTCCATCAGTATTTTTTTATGAAGTTGTCACGTTCAACTATCGTCAGTAAACCAACTTTACAGACAACCGATTTTTTTATCTAACAGAATATGTGTTTTAATATTTATTATATTTTTTTAAATTCGCACTGAAAGTGGCAACAATGATATCACAAGAAACTGTGTGCTTAGTACGAGTAAATTTCTATGCAGTTGAAACGTTTAGCTACGTTTGCCGCTAGGGGCGCTATTCCAACTGCATACAAATTTGAGTTAACTTTTACGCTATCGAGAACGTTAAAAAACTCGCACTAAGCACACTGAATGCCTTATAAAGAAAGAAGAAGCAGAAAAGGTAGTTAGGAAAGAGGTACTTAGCTCAGCTATGCTCCTGCAGTTTTTGATATCTATGAGCATCAGTGAGTGCTCCTCAGCAGATGGGCCTCTACTCGTCTGGATACGGGATACAAGGATACGGTCGATCTGATTACTGGTAGTCACCGTCGCCTACTAAGAGTAGCTTTTTAAAGGACACCTGCGTCCAAGTTTGTAGATTGGAACTAGACGGCTACGCACCTCTCAACGTGTGTGGTATTCGTGTCATGTAGTCAAGCTCGAATGACCAATTAACATCACGAGACATAAAGAAAATAAACATACAATTGTTAGAACAAGAGTTTTGCAGGATTGAAGGTTTGCCAGGTGCCCACTAAAATTTGACAGTCGTGTGATTCAGTAAAAAAATCGAATATTATCTAAAATATTATGATATTTCGTTTCAGTTATAAGTCTGAGAAAATAAATTAGTAATCGTAACAACAATAATACTAAAATAGTTAAATAAAGACCAAATCCACAAAAATTAAAATTTGTGTAATTACAGGCATTAGGACGTCTTGTCAGTCCGCACGGGTAGGTATCACCACTCTGCCTATTTCTGCCGTGTAACAGTAATGCGTTTCGTCTTAAAGGCTGGGGCGGCCGATGTACCTAAAAACAGAGACTTTAGAACTCATATCATGTAGATGACGGCATTTACATTGTTGATTTCTATGGGCTCCGGTAAGCAATTAACACCAAGTGGACAATGAGCTCGTCGGACCCAACATAAAAAAAACTGATGCGCGTGCAACTTGGTGGTCGTGACAGAAGTGAAACTTCAACGTACTTCGAGATTATAACATTAACTTAGAAAGAAGTTGTTGCCGGTATTCGATGATTGCTTTTTTTTTCCTACCTAAGCTGATGGTTTAGAGACCATGTCAGTTTCACCGAGCTAAAGATGATTACCGAACGCGTCCTTTTATTTAACCGGTCTCTGTAAATATTTTAATAACTAAACTGTTCACACCACTTACAATGTAATAGTTTATATGAAATCCAATAGATGTCACTAAGCTAAACGACTTAACTTTGACTTTTCCCTCTCTCCACGGTCGAGTGATTCTCGAGACGCTCTGTCTATTTTCTCACTCTCGCTCTTCCTAAATTATATTTTTTCTCTCTAACCGTAACGAATTTGTTGCGAGTTCAATGTTACTCTCAACTTGCTTAAAGAAGTTTAACTTTAAAAAAAAAACAAAAAAAACGTGCCTATTTACACATCTCTATTAAATAAAATGAAGACCTTGAATAAGTTTTGAAGACAAATTTGCACGTTGTGCGACCTCTAAATTGGGTAGGTAATAATGAGCAGGATTTCTAAAATACCAACCTAACTATCGTGATAAAAACTCGTTAAATACATACATATATGTATACCTAATAATGTAAAATGCGACTGCCATGCCAAAATAATTATAGTCTTACGCGTTAAGTAAGAAAGTTATGTCGGAATAAAGAAACTCATATTCATACATAATCCCATCCCACTCCATTTTGAGAAATTAGGTATTAATGAGCGGGATGTTGTAGGTACCAACCTACGTCGACCACAACAGTCATGTTTTTAATTATTGTACCTTTAAATAAATAATTAAATAACTGGGAACAAATCACGCACGGTCATCTGGCCCCAATTTACAATTCCCTGTGTTATGAGTACAAGAGACTGATATACTATACATACCTGTCTACGTTTAAATATATATGTACCTCTATAGATAATAAACACTTAGGCAAAGAGCAAACAAACCAACACACTATGTTCATCACGCTATGTTTGTCTGATGCGAGAAGTGAACACACGACCCTCGGCACAACAGTCAGGGCCGGTAACTACTGCACCATCGAGTCATTCGAAGTCATTTATTATTATATTTAACGACTTTTTACCACAATTGTTAATTTTAGTGAGTTCCCGATGTTTCATCGCTGTTAAAAGCGTCACAGGTCCACTGAAGACTACGGCTGAGATGGTAGGAGCAGACGAATCTGGCTAGTCTCTTTCTAGTCCGGTTTTGGGTGGTACTACTGGAACTCGATGGAACCTAATACTGGATTCTATTGACTTGATAGCCTGAAGCCGTCGGTTAAACCTTTGAATAAGTTCAAAGTTCAGTACCGTTAATAATATACCTGTAGCTTATGAAACTCGATCCACTGCCTTAGTTCGGACCATAGTACCTAACTTTTTTTTTCTTTTTCTTTTCCCTACCTAGTCCAGTAGCCTCGAGGGGCTATTCTAGATTCACCGAGCTAGTAGGTGAACTTAGTGCTCAAGCCGAGAGTGTTGCAAACACTGGCCCTAGCAAGAGCAGGATCGCAGAATCTACCACCGGATCGGAAACGCGACCCACTGAGAAGATCCGGCGAGAAACTCAGTGGGCTGAGTCTATGCGTTCATTTATTTACTCGTCGAGCCCTTCGTCGCCAGTACCAGGTTCGGCGAGGACGGTGATCGGTGCTTGAGGTACCTAAAAGCACCGTTAATGGATCCGAGGATCCGTAATGACGTGTTTAGGGCGACGTCGACTGTTTACCATTCATTCCACCGGATCGGGTATGGTACCTATACTAATAGCAAATTTATACATTATGAACTTAATTTTTTTGTTCAAAGACCTCGAATCGTTTGTTTATTAGAGAACACAACAACACAGAGAAAGCACACTTCTACTTTCTGAAGTAGGTAATAGCGGAAGTTTAAATTAGTAGCTTTGCGGAGCTTACTAGATGGCAGGTGAAGCAGCAGGAACCCAGACAACGGGAAGATTCTGTTTGACTTCGTGGTTGAATTGCGGATACCAATACACAATTAATTTTATAAACACTATAATTATTCAACGGGTGTTTCGCACGATTTTCACATTTAATTAATTCTCATCACTTGCAACAGCGCTGAAATAGCTATCTATGATTATCTAATACTGTCTATAATGTAGATAGCCGAGATAAACAAAAGAATACCCAAAAAGTATTTATTCTTTTTTTTGGAACTTAACTATAACTTGGGTATAATAACACAGCTTTATCAGTTTTTTTTTACATAGTTTCACGTGCGTGTGAACAAAAAATATGTAAATGCCGCTGTGGAGACAAACGCATATCATGTTGTATTCTAAATGATTGCAAGCTATTTACGTTTTAATGTGTAACAAGGCCTAGTCTATTCTAAAAGGCTCCGTGGTTCGAACTTTAGTTTTATAAAAAAAATTTATTATCAATACACTGTTTGTAATATTGACGCAAAAACCAAGATGCGTTTAAATAAGAAGAAACTTTTTCGAGTTCTTCTGACGCATAATATAATTGCCGAAGATGGCAAGGTGTTTTATGGCATCGACCGGTCCGCGGTTATGTTATTCTTTCTCTACATAGTCCGTGCGCCCGCACAGCCTCCGTTCAGTGTACAAGCCAAAGGCCGCGCAGCACGCGCTCCAACGATACCGCGGTCGAAGATAACCGCGAAAGAATGACATCGAAATTCTAAATTCGAACATCAGAATAACCAAAAAGTTTTTTTAATTTATTAATATATTTTTTTAAATTTTAATCGTATAGTTGTCTATTGTCAGTGTCTATTTATTTATTTTAATTTTAATTCAAAGGTGCTATAAAAATGTATCTATTTTCGAAAAACGTACCAAGTGTGATCTTCGTTTCGTTATTTTTGTTGGCTAACGCTCAACGAACATCGAACAATAATCGAGATCTCGGTAAGTGAAACGGTTATTAAATTCCAAATTCGAAAGCCTCATTCAATTTTAAAAAAATACCGCTTTGAATATTTTTTTATGAATTTAAGTTAGTTGATAGTTATTTATATGTATTTAGGTATATTAACTAAAAAAAATACGTATTTTATCGAAATGTATGTTCATGTTTCATTGTATACACAAACAGCACGTATCGCATCAATATGGATGGATACCTACGAATTAAAAAATCCTGTTTGGTTAGACTATTTATTATTCATGACTCGAGCAGAAACGATAAAAATGCTAGGTCGACGACCCAAAATTGTCATTTTACGGGGTTCTTCATCCAGAGCCTTTTGCAAAAATCATTTAAATAAATGATGTTGTTTTCGTAAAATGTAATATGACAATACTTCAGCCGCGCTTCCCGGATCCGACGGAATCCTCGATTATTTAACCGGTCGACGGTCGACGATCGACGATTTGTCCTGGAGACCTATCCAATACCAATAAAATTATAATATTTAGCTTCTATTAAAAAATATCGAGTAATCTTCTCTTTTTTGTACGGCTTGGCTCTGCCCATGGCATTGCTAGCATCCATGAGCGATAGTAACCACTCAACATCAGGTGAGCCGTATGCTTGTCTACCTACGGCGAATAAAAAAAGATTTACAAATAAAATAAAGATCAAGGAAACTTTGCCGTACGCTTGTCTACGAACGGCCAATAAAAAAAAATTTACAAGTTAAAAAAAAAACAAGGAAACTTTGAACAGTATTAATATACTACTTTTATTTTATTTAATATTTATTTAATAAATAAATACACAAATTTTAGATTTTAATATCATTTTACCAAAGGGTTAGTACTCGTTAGATAGGTAACATAATAATTTATTATCTCAAAACTGTAAGCGAAGGTATGTCATCAAATCGAGGCTGGCTTCGTGACTAAAAATCCATACGCTAAGTTTAAGCGTAATTAAAAAGAAAAAAAACACTACCATGGAAGGCAGCATTCGTGAAATTCAAGGTGTCCAAAAAAACGTGTTAGGTATGCAGTTATGCAACATGTCTACAGTACACAAGAATGCATTAATAAAACATTTCAGATTGACAGTCACCAGTCGCGGTAGTGGTACACTTTTACTTTCCATGACACGCTGTGGGTGTGATTTCTCTTGAGTCAAGTGTTTATGATACACAATTCACTATCATCGGTTTTGTATTGAACATAAGCAATAAGTATGACATACGCTTAACAGGAAAATATCAGCAGAATTTGAACGAACGACGGCTACAGAATTTATTTATTGTGTAAACTAAAAAAACATAGATACATCTTTTTAAACATTTTACTTAGATTTTTCGACATTATATGCGATAAAAACTTTAGGATCGTTGTCGAATAATAATAAAAGAACCAATATAACATTTGTTTCGCTTATTATCAACACTTCAATAGTCAAGGTTTTCGATATTGTTACCAACATTGACCATCATAGATATTATTATCTATAGTCATAAGTTACGGTAATACTCTGCTGCAACTATTGCAAAATATAGAAATAATATGTCCTTTTGTTGCGTTTACTTATCGCACTTCGATCGTAATGTTATTGTAATAAAACCTCCTTGCACAACAACAACTACCTATACTGAGGCAACATATACCAATAGTCAACGTATACCAATAACCTATACATATTATTGGAACGAAGTTCCTTACGGCAGGCTTGGAGGGGATAGGGATTTTGCTGCGCGACCGAACTGAAAAAAATGTGATAGTAAAACCGTAAGAAAAAATCCGTGGAAAAAAGTGCGTGGAATAAAACCGTTAAATAAGACGTGCGCAGGCGCGACAGTCGCATACACAAGCGAGTAGTGTATAATATCTTTCTCTTTCTCCCTCTTTCTTTTCGTTCTCTCATCCATTCTCTTTCTATTTTACGTAATTTATTATTTCCTAAAATACTGAATTTCCTAAATACTTTCCTATACTTAAATAAAAACTAATCAGCAAAATTTAAGAGAAAAATCAAGAAAACCTACATAAAATTCAGCACGATTTTTTTTTGCAAATTGTGTCGATTCTACATTAGCCGAAGGAACTTCATTCCTAACTGGTGTCCCACGACACCACATCTTATATTTTTTATAATTACCTATACTGTTTTAACGTCAATCGACCAATGCGTGAACCTTTCGTATATACACGAAGAACCAAACGAAATGTTTATTTTTATTTATCAGATTTAAGCCGAGTTCTCATTCACACACTACGCGCGAATACAAAACAGTAGATTCGATTAGATTAATTTTTAGATAAGCATCATCATGTCATGATTTTAAAAGAAAAACAAGATCAAAAGCGAGATTGCTCAACAGTAAGCAAGTTAAGTTGTTAATATTACGGAATGCATGAATCGTTGTGAATCCCTTGGCAATAGTATTATTACTGTAATCTTCTCTCCTTTTTCTCCACCTTATCCCACTAGGTGGGGTCGGCACAGCAAATTTTTCTCTTCCATTCTCTTCTATCAGCCGTCATCTCAACACTCACTCCATGTCTTCTTCGGTCGACCTCTTCCCCCTCTACCTTGTACTACAATTTCCATACATCTCCTAGTCACATGCATCATCTCTCTACGCATCACATGTCCATACCACGCTGTATTATTACTGTAAAAAGGATTTCAAAACACCATTCCTGCAAGAATTTCAATGGCATCCTCGAATTAACCGGAAGCTCAGAAATGTTACTCGAACTTACGGGATGGCAGTATGCCTGTATTGTTGAATTCCTAACTAATATTTTGCTTTTTTAGTTGAAGTCAAAATGATACATCTACCGTAAGTAGCTGTCATAAACATAAGTATTTACGAAATTTTTTGCCATGCATGTGTAGACAGACGGCTTACGGCAACCGGAACTATAGACGTCACGACGTGAATGCTACTTTAAGACATGTGGTGAAAATCCAAATTGTTTCGCCAATCAAACCAGAACGTATTGAAAACCGGAACAGGCAAGCTGATGGAACCCAACCGAGCGAGCTTACCATCCAACAATAATACAATCCATTTCCAAATACAATCCATTTAAATCCGATAATATTTAACAACAAGTTTAAATAAACCTACTCTTTAACTCTACTTTGTGTAATCATTAAGAAAGAAAAAAAACAAGGAACTTTTAACACGTAAGATGACGGATGAGAAGTTAAATCAAATAAAATGAGAAACTTAAAACTTTCCATTGCCGGTTCACTGCATGGTATTAGTTTGTTGACAATACAATACGACAAAAAAACGTCTGAAACTGATCGCGTGCTACCTGATTCTAGAGTTACGTACCTACCTATGTTTCATTTTTAACATTTTTTAATGTAATTCTGTAGTATGGTGTTGTGATTTTGATACTTTAATCTTTAAGTCGTGGCCATCGCGTATGTATTGCGTGTAATCCGGCTAATAGTTTCAAAAAACTTCAATATAATACGAAATGTGATTTTAGTGCAATATCCTAAAACATCGGATTATCAACGGAGTCCTATTTGTGATGCGAGGGTGGTGTTCGTTAGCTGCGATCGCTTATGGTTCACGAAATATGAGAGACATGCTTGTGATTAGTTCACCAAATAAGCACTAGGTTCCAATTTGACGTAGGTATGAAATCGAATCAATACAAACAAATTATCAAACTTCTTAAAGCTTGTTTCATTCAGAACGAATGATAAACAAACTAGATATTTTTAAAATGTATGCAATGGCTGGTCACTATTACACAATACTCGTAAAAACGCTCACTAAATAAAATAAAATAAAAAAATTCTGACTAAGATTATAAAAATCTATCAATGATTGTAAATTGAATTCTCCGTGTATTCAAATGTAAAAAAAATCGAATACACAATTTTCGCATCTCGTAGTGTCCATACATCAGCTAAGAATTGTTTACCTTCCACATTATCATCTTAGTTTTATTTGCGAAGTAGAAATCCGTATCTTGTGTGACTTTCTTCAAATATTTTCGTTTCAAAGTATGTCAATGTTAAAAATATGATTAAGACGACTGGTTTCTCTGTACTAATTGTACATTAAAATAAAATTTTAATTAACTTAAAAATAATAATTACAGCTTCTTGCCAGCGCTCAACAAGCGTACGGATTTTTTGGTATGAAAGGGTGACTGGTTGGACCTGGACTGGACCTTTCCAGCTTGGTCAGAACGGGTGGGCGAACATGGGCTCAACCAGGAGGGGTGGCATTTGCTAACAGCTGACAGTGTGTCTCCGTCGTAGATTGCTTAAAGGTAGTTGATTCTCGAATGCATCTTTTTTTATTGCTTAAATGGGTGGACGTTGTGCACACAGTTTTCTTCGTACATGATCCATGGCTTTATTTTTTTGCTCATCGTGAAGTCTTGAAAAACGAGGTGTATGTTTGTAAGCTATGAAATACGTTATTACACCTTAGTAATTTTGAATGCAACACAATGTCGAAACATCCGTTTTTTTCTGCCTTCATAATAATAGTGTTTAGTTCGGCTATGATATACCGCGCACACGGTATCTTACACGTTACAACACTCAACACAAACTAAAATTAAAGGCTCCAGTGACTTCTATTACCTACTTTAGTTGTTTTTTTTTCGATGTCGTTTACAGTATAATTTCACAAAAGAATGTTTCTTCATTTTTTATTCTTTTTGAAATTATATGTGTAAAAAAAAAGTTTATTATTTCAAACTCTTTAGTTTTTAAAGAGAAATTTTCTTCAGTGTCATGGAGTGAAGTCTGTCATTTAGTAAAAAGAGAATTCAGTTTTGTATAGTTTATTAATACTGTTTACTGTTTAATTTTTAACATTAATTTAAAAAGAGATTGAGGGCTTTAAATGTTGTTTTCTTATTATGTAACAGAAAACGCAATTAAGTCTTTTATTATTTATTCATTCTGAAGTACTCCATATCATTAGGTACCTATATATATTTTATCTAGCTCCATCTTTAGA